CTGTACTACGTATGATTGAATATCTAATTGATAGTGCTAAAATATTATTGTTTATTTCTGTTTTATTGTTCATACGAATTGACAATACAATAATACGACAACGCAAAAAACACAATTTATACACATAATGCTTTAGTTTTATTTAACAAACACAAAAAACATTGTTTTTTTTCCTTTTTCGGACGCTCTAGACTAGATATAAATGAATGTTAATACAAAAAGCAAGATAATCCGCAACAAAAGACACCGGTTAAAACAAAATAAAATTGACATGTTCGTTTTTCTGATTCGAATTATATTATAAAAGTCCTGTATTATTTGATCGACTTGTTAGACGATCGCCACTAAATATGGGCTGTTTTTCATCAACATAAAAAGGATCATCGAGAAATTCATCTGTTCTAGAATTTGAATTATTCATAATCATTGTTGGTATTGATGTTTCAACTTCATCCGATAGAACATCTTCTAACAATCGATCATGATTATGATTTTCTTGTGTTGGCAAATATTGATAAACAGGATTTGCTTCTAAACCAATTTGTTCATGAAGACGATGATGTGAAAATAAATGTTTTAAACGAATTATTTTCGAATTATAACGAATAAAACTGAAAATAAGTAAACCTAAAATTACACACACAATAATTAACATAATCCATCGACGCCATTTTAATTTTATTTGAATATGACAATAGTCACCAGTAAAACCATTCGTACAACTAAATAGATAAAATTAAAAATTAACAAAAAAAACGAAGAGTAGCAACTTACCGACAGAATGCTTGATTTTTTTCTATAAAACATTTCCCTTCATTTTTACAATTCATCAATTGGCACAAATTATTTTGACATTGTTTACCACTGAAACCGTTCGGACAACTAAATAAACCGTGATGATAAAAGTTTGTTTATTTAGTTCATTAGTTAACTTACTTGCAACTAATATAACTTCCATTTAGTGTACATTGACCATTATTTTGGCAATTATTTTGACATAAATCTATCTGACATTGATTACCAGTAAACGGCAACGGACACCTTCGAAATTACAATATAAGAAAAAAATAATCGAAGCTCAAAACGTGACGATAAAATTCAAATAATACTTACGAACACATCGTTGAATTATCGTCATCATTAATAATTAAAAGACCATTATTATAACAATTAAATGTTTTGTTATTGATTTCTCTGCACATGCATGTCTGCGTTTGCATATGATATATTAACGAATGAGTTGTACTTTCACATGAGGGTTCAAAGAACAGTAATCGAGAACATTGTTCACGTTTTAATGGTGATATAATACGATCACATGGTACTTCTAGAGAAAAGTCAAAACTTCTTTTTATACGAGAGAAAAATGAGAAAATAAATCAATTTACCCAGTTCGCCCCGATCAGTTCTCAGTACTGTACATAAATATGGTGTTTTTCGTCGATTTGATTGTGATAAATAACACATACACGGTGGTTGAGAATCATTACCAATATGTGAACAACCAACATTGATTGAATTTGTTAATCGACACATTTCACAATCATCACCGGCGTATGTACGATTCGAACATACACATTGACCATTAGAACATATGCCACGACTATGGCATGATGAACCGCATAAATTTAATACTATTCAGACAAAACAACAAATAAATACATTCAAAATTCTTTCACCCAAACATACTTCCTGGTACAATACAAAGTGGTTGATAAGAAGGAGTCGAAATGCATACACGATCATCTGGACACGATGTAGTGGAACAAACTGGCTTGACCACTAAATACCCAAATTTTTTATTTGTTATGAAAATTCGATATTATACACTTACTATTTGATGTGTCAGCATTCGGATATTTTAATTCGTGTATGTACCGAATAAACATCGGTACGTAAAATGTTCGATATTGATCAGTGGCTAGTGTGCCAAATTTTTCTAGCCACATTTCATGAAATGTTGAATCGCTTGAATTATATGTCATGACAACAAGTGTATCATCATGGAGATCAATGAAATAAGGACGTACATCTATTTCAAAATATTAAAAAGAGAAACTCGATGAATTTATTTTACTTTTAAAATAATAAACAGTTTTCTTCCATGGTTGACTTGAATCTATAGCATAACTTTCAATTTCACCACTGGATAATATAACATATAAACGTGGATGACGATAATCAATTGTCATACTTAATACGGGTCGATGAAGACTAATAAATGTTTCAAGATTTGATCCATCGAGTAAACTTCGATAAACAAGTGAATGTTGAGCATCGTAATAGGCACTAATATAAAGGTACCTATGAAAGAGCAAAAAAACTAAAAATCAAATCTCAATAGATTTTAATGCGTTACCCTTGTAATGGATGTACATTAATCGAAGAAATTGTTTTCATAGTCGAAAATGTTAATCGATTCATGAATTTCAATTTAGTATACTCATTGTTAGCATGTAAGATTTCAATACCATTTGGTGATGATGATGATGATGATGGATCATCATAGAGTACATATACAAGACGATGAATCCAATCAACTTCCAATGAAGTAAAATAAAACATTTCCGATGACCATATCTAACCAAAGTATTCTTATAATGTTATATACAAATGAAAAATAGTTTATATCGAAATAATCACCTGTGTAGCATTGCTGTGAAAACTATTATTTGAATGAAGAGTATGATTTAATTTTTGTCGCCAAATATAACCACGGCCATTTCGTTGTTCTGTATACAATAAATACCATCCGTCATCAGTTGATACAAATGCTGCATCAATCACACGATGTGAAGGATTGACAGACTAGAAAATTTCAATAAATATTTCCTTGCGGAAATTTAATAATAAAAATCTTACAAAAAAGCTTGAACCCTGCTGATTAAGGGAGAATGATGCACGACGATCTAGCATCATATCAATGGTTCGATTACTCTTAACTACACATGATATTTGATTATTGTTCTGTAAGAGAGAAAAAAACAATTGCAAATTTAATAAAAAAAATAAAACATTTCGTTTTTTCTTGTTACTTTTTGTATTTCAAAGCCTCGATCACATTGACAATCCGACATTTGAACTGTCGATTTTTTCTTTAAACATACATCGAAATCATCATTTTTCTGTGAACTATTGGCATGTGCACATGTACCATAGGACCAATTGCATAGATTAGTTTCTAATATACAACTTCTAAGTATCAAAAACAACATCACAATTTAAAAGAATAATAAATTTTATAGTAATTTTACCCATTTTCTATTTTAACATAATCATTTTTACATTGACAAAAAGGTATACGATTGTCCATTTCACAAAAGCTCGATGTTGAATCACAATTTGGACAAGTTTCTACATAAAAACACCCTTCGAATATTTTCATTTTTACTGATTCATTAACTTACGACAATGTAATTTATGTTCATCGTCTCCTAATGGACATTGAGTTATACCATCACACAATTCTTGTAATGGTATACACAATGGTATATAATCATACTGTTCATGCCGTTGTTGTGTGCAACGATAGCCACTCATACATGTATAATCTTTAACGACTGATAATGGTAGAATACCATTTTTATCGTCACAATTTTCTTCATCCGACGAATCCGAACAATCGAGATCACCACTTAAAATGATTAGAAGAAAAGACTTATGTATATGTATTATTTAAAAAGAAATCACAAGGAATGAACTTACTCGCAAACAAATGTTCGATTGATGCAAAAATTATTGGTTTTACATCGAAATAAATTAGTTGATTCACAACTGATGTGAATATTTGTTGGAGTTGTCGTTAAATTATTGAAATGATGTAATACAAAATCTTTTATGAAACAGAAAAAAATGAAAGGAAAGATTTATATTGAATGCATACTGCATGCTTGTGATGTTTCATCTTCACGAGCAATATTTGCTTGATCTATTGTTGGACAATCATCAAAATTATCGCAAACTTTTTCTAGTGGAATACATTTGCCGGTTGATGGACATTTGAAATATTCATACGGACATGTGACATTAACACAATCGAATGGCTCATCAGCGCCATCGTCTAGAATAAATGTGATCGATTAGGGAACAGAATTCTAAAGCAACTTACAACAATAAGGTTGGCCATCGCATCGATGACTGATCGATACGCATTTTCCATCACAATAAAATTCGACGTCGGAACATAGATTTGGATATTTTTCTGTACAAAAAAAAATAAATAATCAAGATCCGTTTGAATTTTTTCTATTCGAAGAAAATTCTGCTTACTAGTACAAGAACTTAGACTAGGCCATTCACAAAAATGTCCACAAATAACATCGTGCTCATCTTCACCATTTGGGCAATCGGCAATTTTATTACATAAATCATTATGTGTTATACACTTTTTACTTGACCAACAAGAAAATGATGTTTTATTACAAGTGAATTCTAAATAAATGAAAATTAGCCATCGAGGAAAAAAGGCAGATTTTAATGAAGCAAACCTTCACAATTATTTTCATCTTCATTAAATAAACAATCTTGGGATCCGTCACAGCGTTGATAAAATGGAATGCTTTTTTTTGTTATTGGACAATTGAAAAAATTTCTAATCACGCGCAAACCAAATTGAATATCAATCCCTTCAAATGTTTTCTCTGAATAACTTACTCAGCACTTTTCCGTTTACATGATCGACCATCTTCAGCTAAAATATAATATTGTGCGCAGCCACATGTGATTTCAGTTTGATTGATTGCATTTGGAAAACATAATTGTTCACATTGTTCACATCGATTTTCTACGGCTGTAAAAATCATTTTTTTTCTTCTTCGTTTGGATCATTTTAGAAAAATTCAAAAACTTACTTTTCTTTTCATTAGGATCAACAATAATAAAATCATTCATATGAATTGAATATCGAACATAATATAAATTATGCAATGAACTTAATGACCATGTTCCTTGTCCAAATCGAGAAGATTTATCTAATGAAAGGATGTTTTTGAAAAAACAAAACTTTCTTTTCAAATATTAAAACGTACTATGAAATGTTTGCACGACACGGTTAAGATCAAAAATAAATCCAGGTCCAAGCAATGTTGTACCAATTGCATGTTTTGGATTTATTCGAAAGTCACTAAGATTTGAAGTTTGTACATCTACGAAACTTTTGTACATCTTATCTGTGGAAAAACAAAAGTAATCATAACCGATTAGAAAAAAAAAAGAATTTTACCAGCAAAAATTTTAAACGAATGAAAACCTTGTACTGCTTGATATTGTATATGTAGAACATCGCCGTGCATATTTAATGTAAATATTTTCTCGAGACCGTTATAAAAATATAGATGATGTGCTATTCGATCAAATGTTAACAATGGCCGAAGATAATTAACATTATCAACATCATTCGTTGTTTTCAATGTGAACAATAGCTTTAAATTCGTACCATCCATACCAAGACGTACGATATGATGAGCACGCGATTTAACTATAGCTGTATAGAATAGTAAACTAAAACAAATAAAAAAGAAACCAATTGAATATATTAATGAGAATTCTACAAATCCAGTTAATGACAAAAAAAAAGAATTTGTGCGTTTTCATTGAGAATTTTCCGCGTGGATGGACCTTTGTCTCCATTGAATCGGTCAGTGCGCATAAGCAATAGGGACACACTGACGATAGCTATCACTCGTCTTTAGGCGCAACACTGCACTAGTCTACACACGCATGCATAACATAATAGCAATCTCAAATTCATCATTATTCTATACACTTGGGTCTACATAATATTCGCCGGCTGAATTCAACAATGCTTAATCAGTTATGTAATGTATTTCGCAAGACTGCTTCAATGCGTACGTACCCCTTTTCTGGATATAGAACAATGCGTTGTGGCAAATAATCACTGATAGTTTGATGAAGAAGAATATAGCAAAAACTTCCATTAAGACGACAAACATCAATAGTTTGTAAACGCGTATTAACAAAATAAATATTTCTATGTAACCAATCAATAGCGATCGATTGAATTGATGTATAATCACGGCCATCAATAATTAACTAAAAGCAAAAACAAAAGAATAATTAACTGACGAACTATGTATTGATCAAGCAAGGTCTTACTTCTTTTTTAAGTATACTTTGACTTAAATTCATTCGAAATATTCCACGTGTCTTTGGACAAGACATAATTACGGGTCGAATAGGCATTGAACATTCAACAAAATAAAGATAATTTTCTACAGGATCATAATCGATTAAATAAGCGTGATTTGTCAATGCAACAAGTGTCTTATTGTTATTGATCAATTCTTTGCTTTTTTTTCCTAGTTCATTTTCGTAGGTCATATTCAATTTATTTATTCCATTATCAAATATACCAAATAAAAATGCTAAAAAACAAAAATAAATTCTTTTGAACGGATCAAAACTCAAACTTTATTTACCGGATGAAACTGTACTCATTCGAAGTCTACACGTGTGTTTATCGGATTTCAATTGATAATTTTCACGACATGAACAACGATATGAACCCAATGTATTTATGCAATAATGATCGCATACTAGTCGTTCACGACATTCATTTATGTCTTCACACATGCCAGTTGTTTCATTCATTCGAAAGCCTGCTTGACAAACACAACGTTTATTGAAATAACCTCGACAATATTGATTTTCATCTGAACATGTATTATTAACTGAACAAGGCCGTTCCATAAAGAATGATGATGATGAAGAACCTTTGAACAAAATTTTCGTAAAAAAAAAGAGAATTTCGTTTTTGTTTTCATTCGACTTTACATTCATTATTTTCATTGTTTTGATCAATAAATATTGAGTTACATTCATTTTTTACGTAGCATTCCATATTTTTCGGTAGACATTTATCCGTTAAACCACAACGATAGAATAATGTTTGACTAACATAATCTTCAATAGGACAACTACATGACATTTCATCACTACGATCATGACATTGAGTAATTGTATCACATACATTTGATTTTGGTATACATAATTTAGTTGATCTACATGCAAATTGATCAGGAGTACAAAAACGAGGAAAACCTGCAAATGGAAGTATAATAAAAATTGAAATCTATGTAATCAACTTTTTTTTCTTTTATATATTTAGATTTCAACATACGGCATGTGGTTGAAGATTCATCACTTTTATCAGCACAATCCTAAATAAAAACAGAAAACTTGAATTCTATTAAATAAATTCTATATATACTTGAACTCCATCACAAACAGCGTTCGATGGTACACATTGATTTTTTGATTCACAAGTAAATTCATCCGATGAACATGTAACTGTAATTGTCGTTGAACAGTCTATTAAAATTTATTAATAGTAATTATTCTCGTTTTTATTTTTATTGTATTTAATTTTTACCTAGCTCATCCGATGCATACGGATCAAGACAATCATTAATACCATTACATAGCCAAGTTTTTGGTATACAACGATTGGTTATGTTACAATGATATTCATCTCGAGAACAACTTATCAATGGATTTTGTTGCGCACATTGTTCATCAATTGCATTACGACAATCAATAATGCCATCACAAACAGAAGATCTTTAAAAATAAATTAATCGTTGATTTTTTGTAAATAGGAAAATCAAATCTTTTAATTAGATGTTATGATTACACATAATCGAGAAATTTCTTTCGTCATATTTATTACATTATTGCCACCGACAGACGTGACATTTTCGTGGTTGTAAAAACTCGTCCATACAACGTCCGTTTCTTTTTGGAAATTATTGACGTAGAACTCCTTTTTCCGGTGGGTTGGCTATTCAACGTTTCTAATGTCGAGTTAAGTTTTTCTTTGTCATGCATTTATAAACGTACGTTTTAAGAAATACAGAAATCAGATGTTGTATTTAATCATCTAGACGGAATAATCAGATTTATTTGACAAGAAACTACTTAGACGCTTTCCATGTTGTTTTTCTTCTTTTGATCAAAAAGAAACTATCAATTGGTTTTATTTATAATTCTATTAATTATTTATTTTTACTTCGAAGTAATATAATCCTATAAAATATCATAGGTTTTTTTTGCTTTCGTTTATGATCTCTACGATCGAAAATGAGACTGTCAATGATACTCATTTGATTTAGCAAAATATTTCTATCATTGGTAGAACTTCACATAAAAATGCACAATTTATATATATATATATTATGAGTCTCCTTAGGATATAAACGAACACTTAGATCTCGTGTGCAAATATGCTCGAACCATTATAGCTACTCCTATGCATAGACTAATTGAAGATGAAGGCGTCTGCAAAGTGTTAAGAGTGCTATGACGTCAAAAATGAATGATTATCCCTCTAGGCATATGTCTACCATGAACGAAATTAAAAATTAATGGGAATATTAGGAACTGATATTTAAAACGGTTTTTTTTGCAAGCATAAAAGTGTAAAACTAACGATGAATCCTCTTCGCCCCAAGTAACACGCGTAAACAGAAGAAGAAGAAAAATTAAATTTACCGTTTAATACAGATTTTGATAGGTTGTGTATATTCAAATCGAATACCATGATCGATAAGGCGTGTACTATGGAGTATATCTTGTTCACAATTAATAGAATTCTTTATATTACACAAATCATTGTTAATTATGGCTGTCGAACAGTTTACTTCATCTGTTTTATCGTGACAGTTGTATTCTCCGTTGCAAACAAATGCATATGGCAAACATTGTATGGTATCACAACGAAATAAATATGATGGACAAATAATTGAGTCACCTATTGTGAAATAAAAATAATTAAAACGAAATAAACAATAATAATAATTACTTACTGAATTTTATTACATCTTCATGTGATACTTCTGATTGTTCAGCGTGACATATACATGATTTAATGATTAGGAGAATAAGTATTAATATTACTTGCATGATTTACTTTTCTGTCTTTATATATATCTTCTATAAATCAAAGAGTTGGATAGCAATGAAGAAGAAACAGAAGACAAGATAAGTATACATGGAATCAATCAATCTGCAGGCGGTACTTTGCTGTCGTCGCCACTACTGTTAGGCAGAATAGTAGAACTAATGAATACTAAGTTCATTCTTTTCTCTTTTTTTTCTTCTTTTTTTCTCTCCTTCTCTGTACTCACTGATGGGTCCACTGTGTCGTCCATTCTTTCTCTTCTCTCTTACAAGCTAGCGGTCGCAATGTGCATAAGCTGTTCAGTAAAGATGAGAACACCGAGAACAGAAAAGAAAGAAGGGAAGAGAAAGACGAAAAGAAAAAGAAAAAAGAAAAGAAAACGGCCATTGATTTTGCGAAGGGTGGTGTCCATACACTGCACACTCCGATACTGATTATGCTTTGCTATTAACACATGCTTGACTTTGTCCCGGTTTAATCAAGCAACGTCAAGTAATAGAAGATTCTTTTGTCGGTAATAGAAAAGAATGGAAAATAATCATCATTCCTAGATCGAAACTAAAGCATTTCAGAAACGTTAACTCTCTCTCTCTCGTCTAACAGACAAATGAGAATGAAAGAAAATTCCTAAAATATTTATCGTTTAACATACTTGTGAATATGAGCATATTGACGAGGACAAGAGCAAGAAAGAGAGAAAAATAATCTAGCAGATCTTTGTTTTCGACGATCATCGTTAATTAAAACTATTCTTTGCTTACAACATATGTATATTCTTGTCTCTGCTTGCAAGAAAATCTGACAAGCAAAACAGAAATAAGAAAAGAAAGACGCTCTATCTAAATGTAAAAGATTATTTAGGCATAATATAAGACAGCACGAGCAGTTGTTTCGATAATCTCCAATGTAACAATGTTGTTTTGCCAATTATTATCATATAGATCGTCTTTTCTCTTTATTATTACTATTATTATTATCATTATTATTATTATTATTATTATTTCTTCGTTATGTTACTTACTAAATAGGAATAAACCGAGTAATAGAAAAGATGCAAGAAGAAAATGAAAAACTTTATTATGGCTGCCTCTTCGGTGCCTTTTTTAAACGTCGGATAGGCTTCGACCTTTGCTATCGATTAGGGATGCACCAGTATCAGTATACTGGGTACTGGTGCATCCCTACTATCGATAATCTCGTATCGTAGAATCATAAAATTTGAAACTACTGTATGTCTGAATAATTCAAAAAAGAAAAAAAAGTGCTGTAAGTAAATAGTCGATTATGTCATAGTTTTATTAAAATAAAGAAAAAAAATAGATGTTTGCATTGAACTAATAATGGTATGATGAAATCAGTGAAGTTCAACATATTTGATGTAAAATATAGATCTAAGTATTAAGTAATGTTTACATTAAAAAGAAAGAAAAAGCCTATACTGTTCACCAACGCTCACGCATAACTGCCGGTGGTTGTATACGTGACAAATGACGATATAAACTTTGTACATAAGTAAAAACAACTTTCCCATCTGGCTTAGGACCCATGAGTATCATATCATCGGTATCAATCAATGGTTCTATGCCAGCACGTTCACTAAATAAAAGAAGAAACATAGGAGTACAAATGACGAAATTACATACTAAGCAACGGTGAAAGCTAAATCAAAATTTTGCCGAGGATCATCAGCACTTAACGTATCAAAACTAAATTCATCGGGAAAATATCGATGAACAATAGCACAAAATGCTAAACCATTATTCCATGATGATGAAAAATTTTGAATATTGACACCCTAATAAAAACATGGAAAATATTTTTCAATAAAAAAAATATTAATTATTTACTTTATAATATTGTGTAAGATCTTGACACCAACGTAAAATTGTGTCTTTAGTCTTTGTTGCATTTTGAGAACTAAAATCAACATCATATCTGCGTATTATAATCTCTCAATATTTTTTTGTTTACCTAATTTGTGGTCTTACTGTAGAATTCGGTGCGACATTATCACCAGCAAGATCTATAGGAAAATTTTCGACAAGAACATTTCTAATTGTATTTCTATACCTGCTCGGGATAAACGACGAAGTACAGTCGCTTGTAACTTTTCTTTTTTGTCATTTTCTCGAATAAGATCTGAAGGTTTAACTGTTGAATTTGAAACTCGACGTCTTGCCCATATAGGTGTATTATTATCACGTTCGGTATCAGATGAGGCTGTTCGATATCTACTGTTATTATTGTTATTCGATTGATAACGATGATTCATTGGACGATAATCGTTATCAAGATTTGTAACTATTGTGCTGGAACGTTTTCTTGTTGATTTAACATTACCTAATATTGGATCATATTCGATCTCAACTTCGACGATATCTTTTGCTAATTATAAAGAAAAAAAAAGAAGAGAAAAGACTTGAATTTCCAAGTCAACTTACTTTCACCTTCTGTATTAGCATATGAAATTTCATTCAGACTTGAGCGGACACAACCATCAACAAATCCTTTCATATTCTTCTCAATCACTTTTTTCGAATTATTTTCATCGTTTAAACGACGAAGATCTAGTGCATAGTTTGATCGATGTAATGCTGGTGGTGTTTCTTCTTCTTCTTCTCGTTGTTGTGTTTCGCTGATCGTTGATACTTGTCGTGCTGTTGGTAAAAATTTATTTTCTTCATAAATAGTAGTCTGAGGTGAATATTGCGGAGAATCATACTGGAAACCTTGTGATGGAACAATATCTGCAAACATGATTTTTAAATATTTGCATAGATAAAGTTTTTTTCCGTTTGACGTAGATAAGAATGTGAATAAATTCTGCGGACAGGGGCATTGATTCATATTTCTAGATGCGCCTGTACGTAGAACTTGAGCACAAACTTTTTATTTGACATAAAATATTTTAGCTTTTCCTTATATCAGCACTGTACCTTTGGTTGCATTCGGTTGGAAAATTAAGCATACTGTTTGATGTCTACCACAATTAATACATTGAAATAGAATATCATGTTTCTGGTCATGTCGATAGTTGCTTATATTTCCGTATTGATTTACTTGTGGACGTTGTTGCTGAAGCTGATCGCGTAGAGACCGCGCATTTGTATTTGTATGTGACATCGTGATACAAATGAATAAATGATCGAACTCATCCTTTTCAACTGTTTTTTCTAATGAGAAAAAAAGAAAGGGAACTTTGGTAAATGACAATAATTTACTGTGCTTACCTTCTCTCACTTGTTGAATATTCGAGAGCTATTAACATTTTTACCTTTGTACGTTCGGATTTTTTTTATTGAAAAAAAAATTATGAATAAGTATGTACACATGTTAGTAGTGACAAACGTTAACCAAATATCATAAATTTATAATAGGACCAGTTTGTTTAGATATTGACCTTTGATGATATGTCACCTTTAAAGTATTGATTTATACAAGTAGAATTATTCATAGAAATTGATTTCAACGTAATACTATCGTATAGTTTCATGGCCTTTTGTAATAAAAAAAGATAATCAGGTTTTTTCAAGGAAAAATACTTTGCTGTTAATAAGAGTTAGAGCTTTTGTCTAGCTCATTTTCAGAACAGATGCAAAATGACAGGTTATTATGATTTTATATTTCAATTAAAATATAATGCCAGTTTTTGTTTAATTTCTATGAAGACGAGAACTTGAAACTAAAAAACTACGAGTTTCAAAATAGAAAAATTTTGACGAAAAGCGAATACATTATCATAGATTTGATACTGTCCCAGTAGGATATATTAGGATCAAAAGAGCAAAAAATATTATTTTTCTACGATATAAAATGTGTCAGATAGGGTTAAAGGTTCTCGTTACAGATATTAGACACTGTATGAGTAGTCAAGTTTCGTTATATACTTTGCATCTCTCGCCATTGGAAATCTAGCGAATACTATTTACTTTTAGTACTAGTTTCTCTGGGCAAATTGAGTAGGAATAATGAATGAAAACAACTGGAAATTGATTGCATCAAAGCTCGGAAATTACTTTTGACGCCATCGATCAGATTAGGACTTCATACTCCTTCTAGTGAAGTTTTCAGGAAAATATCTCTGAATTTAGTAAATGATAATTTATCCGAAAATCATGTTGTTTTGCTCTCGCACTCTGTCTCTCTGATCGGTAGTAACTCCAATTTTATATTAAGAAATCCCGACAGGAAGAATCCACATTTAAATGATTATTATAAAACCATCAAAAATTCGATAATTTGTTTTTAATTAAAATTGAAATGCTCTCTCGCTCTCTCTCTCTTTGTGTTATTTCGTCATCAACCGTTCACATGGACGGCACGAAGCAGCATACAATACCATATAAGGTCATCAAATACATCAATGAGATCAAAAAACAGAAAAGTCAAAAAAATGAAAAGGAGATCTATCAGAATGAAACCACGTACATACGAATGAATTCTGTCTGGCTGATAATTCCACAAAACAGAAGAGAAAAGAAAATAGATTGAAATCGATTTAACCAAACATACCAACAACAAACAAACAAACAAACAAACAAAAAAGGCATATATAATATTTATATTTGTATATTCAAAGCCGAACACTGTATGTGCACTTTCTGCTGTTACGAGTAAAAAAGATTACACGTTCTTGTATGTATATACAAAAAAGAAAAGAAAAGAAAAGAAGAAAACAAGTCAAAAAAGACTGAATGTCTAGCGCAAAAACTGATTTTTCTGACCGAATTGTTAAACAAAGAGGCTAACAAAAATTACACACAAAAATTACCGGTTCAAAAGAAAAAAAAACAAACACACCGATTTGACTAATACAGATATAGAACAAACGAGTCGAAAGTATTAATTTAAATTGAATGGTCCTTGTACTTTCAGAAACTACAAGAAAAACAAAGAAATCAATTCAAACAAGATATTATTTTCAGTTTTAACATACTTGTATTACGAGCGATGGTCCACCGGCGACAATTTCTTGTGGTAAACTTCTCAATGGACAATTTTCAATACTCATAATTTGTAAATTTGTACATAGTGCTAGTTCATAGGGTAATACGTCCAAATTCGGATTATCATTGACATAGAGTTGTTCAAGTTTTTCTAATTGACCTATATCTTCAGGTAATGATGTTAAATTATTTTCACCAACATTCAAATGGGTAAGATTTGTCAAAGATCTTAATCGAAGAAAAACAGTTATATGAAAAATAGAACAAAAACATTCGTTGCAGAAAATTACCCAATCGAACGTGGTAATTGTGTTAATTGATTCGATGCAATAATTAATCTTGTTAATTCACGTAAATATCCTAGATATTAATGGTTTTTATACATGTGACTTTTTATAGTTCATGGTAAAACATTTACCTATTTCCTGAGGTAATGAATCAAGTTTATTTTCTTCAAGGTCTAAATGGCGTAATTTTCTTAATTGACCCAATGATGGAGGAATTCTCTACAATAGGAACAAGCATATATATATATATATATATATTAATCAACAGACTGTTAGAAATGTTATCTTAATATAAAACGAGGAGAAAAACGTCTCCTGCATTTTCATGTGGATATACGATAGAATACATAAAAATGCTTTTTAGATAATTAGCAAATGCTTGAAGATGTTTTTATCTACTTCTATTACAGAGCGAGTCTAGAACAACATTGTTTTCAATACGTAACAATATCTAATACGTACTTTTAATTGATTATTCGACATAATAAGTACTTCTAAATTTTGTAAATTTTTTATATCTTCCGGTATAACTGTTAATTGATTTGTTGCTAGATTGAGTTCAACTAATGCCGTCCAAGAACCAATATCTATTGACAAGAAAAACAAAGAATGTGGAAATAAAATCAAAGCATATAGTATAAATTGCTATTCTCTTGTGTCAAATATTTTTTTATACAAATGATAGAATTTCATTCAATTATTCCAATCATAATATATTGCTGAATCGCTAATGAATATTGAGTTCGTCGGTGGCAAGAAATTTAATACTCTTGCTTTTTTTCGCAAGACATCCTTCGAAGCCACGATCTGCGATTGACAACAGTACTACCAGGGGGTCTTAGTATCTATATAGCTCTCTACGCACATGATGACATTCTATAATTGGCATCGTCTTCACACTATGGAATGAACTGATAACAAATTTTTCACTGATAATACATGCAGTTCTATTGTAAATATTCACTATTATTCTTGTCAGACTATAGCATAGTCGAATGACAATATATATATATATATAGTTAGCATCTAAAGAAGATTGTTATCTTGAACAAAACCGAAAAAACCTTATCGAAGAAAAAAATTTTGCTGAGATGTTTTCTGCTCTGTTAGTCATTAATTTCTTAATACAAAATTCAGATTTTCCATTAGTATAAAGATAATTTAGTAATATATAATAAGAACATTCATCTTGTTTCATAAATATACATTTAGAGACAAAACAATGCCCGATAATATATCATACCTAATGGTAACGACGTCAATGAATTTTCTCGCATATTTAATTTTGATAAATATTTTGCCAGAGAAAATATTGAAAATGGAATTTTATCAATTGTATTACATTCCATATTAATTGAATGTACAGATGTAAATTGTGTTGGACCTCCCAATGGGAATGAATTGAAATTGTTTCTTGCTAATGATATTGTGTTTAAATGAACTAAACTTGATAAAAGTCCTTCCTATAGAAGAGAAAACCAAAATAAGCTTAATTAATGTAGATATTTTTGTTTTTTTCAACTAACCGGTAATTGTGAAACATTATTTCCTTCGATATTAAATTCATCTAGTTTTAAACAATTTGCTAACGAAGATGGAATGGCCGAAAGACGATTATATCGGATCAACAGTCGACTAAGATTTTTGAGATTGCCTATTAATTCAGGTAAGTCAACTAATTCATTATGAGTTAAATCTAATGTTGTTAATTGGGCACAATTTCCTAATAACAAAAAACGATGAAGAAGTTTAATCAAATAAATTCCGAGCTCTTATCAAACCTATTTCATTTGGTAAATGTTCAAGATGATTATGTGCAACATCAAGTGTTAAAAGTTGTACAAGATTGCCAACAGTTATTGGTAATGAACGTATACGATTTTCTCGTAAACTTAACATTTGTAAATTCTATTGAGAAATAGATTTATTTTCTTTCTATAAATCGATATTTTAAGACTGAAAATTAAACTTACAACTAGATTTTTTATCATATCCGATACTTCTTTAATTCTATTAAACCGTAGATAAAGTGTTGTTAAACTTGTTATTCGATAAATTACATCCGGAATCTAATTTTAAATAAAATAAGAATAAACTAGCAAAACAGAAGCTTGTTTTTTCTTACATCGTTAAATTTATTGTGTCGTAAATCAAGCACTTTTAATTGCACAAGACGGTCCATTGTATCCGGTAATGTTGTTAGAGAATTTTCACTTAATGCCAATACTTTTAAATTAACTAAATTACCGATCTCAGGTGGTAATTGTTGTATACGATTACTATATAAATATAGTTCTCGAACATGAATAAGCTAATTGTAGAAACAAAACATGAGTTATATATGAATATGATTGGAAAAAAAGATTTCTTACATCTTTGATTGTATTGGGTAGAATAGTAACACTACTTTTACTTAAATCAAATCGTTCACTTTGTTCATCACGACAGTTTTGTATTTCTCGATTAATATCCTATGAAAAGAAAAAGAATAATTATTATTTATTTATCCGTGACTAATTATCAAGAAAGTATTCTATTATAACCTTTTCTTTTTCTTCTTCTTTATTTAATATATAAAATAATCTTAGATAAATATACATAAAAGATCAACTTACGGTTTGTTTTGCGTTTGCTGCTATACGGGATGTCAATGATTTAAATGGATGTATATCTCTTAACATTATTATTTATGAATAATAACAATTAATTCATTCAAAATGATCAATACAAGTATATGTATGTGTGTATATAATCTTGCTAACAAATGGCCTCACTGAATATCTAAGCGTTGATAACTATTCAATAGATCAACTCTAGTCGCATAAACAACCAAGTTTTGTTCGTTCGCGTTTTTTTCTCTCTCTACTTTGCCGACAAATATATATGTAGA